GGAAGGGGGGGAGGAGGAAGGGGAGGCGAAAGGAAGGGAAGGGAGCAGGGAGGTTGGCCCTGGACCTGGGTGGGTCACACCAGGTAAGCATTTCTTTCTAGAGCACCTGCTATGCACCCATCCGGTTCCAGGCACAGGGCACAACCCTGAACTAGACAGGCCAGGCCCCTGCCCTCGTGGAGCGCATAGTCTAGTGAATTAAATGTAAACAACTGTTAGCATTATGTTTATTGGGTAGATATTTATCCCAGGGCTACTTGTGGTTCAGCACCATATCATACTAAAAAGGTAAAATGATTTTTGTTTTATGTATAAATATAATTCATTCAGTGAATATTTTATCAGGGCCCCCTAGGCATTGGGGTTACGGCAAAGCTCAGAACACACACTTCCTGGCCCCACGGAGCTTCTATGAGTGACACAGTAATTCAACAAGTAAATATACAATATGCAATTCACAGGAACAAAGACAGGGTGCTGGGATAGAGGTGGAGTCAAAGCCGTCCCAGAAGTCCCTCTGAGGAGGTAAGGTGGCCGAGGACGTAGTTCTGAGCTCTTCAAAACTCCATCTTCATTTGGGGCTGGTGTCAGGGATTCCCGTATGGGCGACCCTTGGGGAACAGTAAGTAGAGAGGATCACCATCCCCTCTGCCCCATCCCAGGTATTGAGGCTTCTGTGAGCTTCACAGCAGGTAGGACAGGATACAGAAATTTCCAGGCCCACTGAAAAATGCAACAGGGGCCTCTTGTTCTAAAGTTATTAGGAATTTCAAGTTGGCAAAAGTAGGGCATAAAACCAAGCACCAGGCCTTTCTGAAGCTTCGGCTGTGTGACTGCGCAGGCAGCTGGCCCTTGAAGCCGGCCTTGGTGCCAGTGTCCCCCACCTGTGTGTCACACACCCCCACCTTGCAGAGCCTGGTCTAGGGGCCTCAAACCTTCCCCACCTCCAGGCACCACTGTTGTGACTTTCTGTGCAGTAGAGGAACTGCAGCTCAAAGTGGGTTCACTCCTGGCCCCAACCTAGTGGCCCCCTCTCAGCACAGTGGGACATTGTGAAGACTGAGAGTAGCACCCCATGGGCTGAGGGGGACAGGAAGGGGGAGTAGAGTTCACTCGTTGCTCAGGTCTGTCTTTGCAGCGTTTATCCAGCATCTTCTCTGCCTCCACCTGGTTGACTGCAGGTGGAGATGAACCTTCCTGGAAGACCCCCCAGCCCACTTTCCACGCAGCAGCCACTGAAGTCTTGTCCTCTCCCAAGACCCCACCTTAGCCCCCTTCACCCTGGGAAGGAACCCCGTCTTCAGAAAGCTTACTGGGACACACCTTTCTGGTGGAACTCCTGCTCCCTTCTCCTGCACTCACGTTCCTCCAGCTCCTGCAGCCTCGGGGCCTTTGCCCCTCCGCTTGGCTTTCGTTGCGTTTCCTTTCCTGTCCCCCCCTACTTCTCATTCCCCCAAGCGCTGCACGTGTTGGCCTGCTGGCCTAAAGATCTCTCTCCCCCGCGGGGTGGTTGCCATGAGTACAGGGACCGTGGATGTTTTGCTCAACCTATGGAGCCTGGCGAGCAGAGGGCTCTCGGGGAATGTGTGTTGAGTGAATCCACGATGGACCTCCCGACCAGTTAAAGGCCCCTCCAAGCGCCCTTTGAAAACTTTGAGTAAAGTGTGACTTTGACTTGCCCCCTAGAGGCCAGGGAAGGCGGCCACTGCTGGGCTGCGTGATCTTGGGGCAGCTAGTCCCCTCACGGGGCTCAGTTTCCCTTTCTGTGCCACACTGCGCCCCTCAGAGGCTGTTCCCAGCCGTTATCAGGGCGGGCTGGGGCAGGGTGGCAGCACCCGTCACACACCCGGGGGCGTCGGGGGCTCCCGGCCTACAAGTCCCGGCGCCGCCCG